TCAAAATTGCCTCCAGGAGGCCCCGGGAGGCTTCCGGATGGCCTCAAGTCGAGCTTCAATGTGGCCCCAGGTGGCCTCAAGTCGGGTTTCTCTGCAGCCAAGACGGCCAATATTGGCTTCAGATTGCAGAACATCACCCCGATTGCCCGGAGAACCAAGAAGCCCCAAGACGACCCCCCCCCAGAGAAGCACCCAAGATGTGCTTCCAACAGCCAATTGAGGAAGCACGTAGAACCCCCCGGAAGCCCTTCAGATGCCCCCACGAAGACCCAAGAGGTTCCCCGGGAGGCACGACTATGTCACGCGCCTGTGCTTGATAGCTCTGTCCAAGATCATCCAGCGCCCCCCCTGGCCTGGGCTAGAACCTGAGCGCGCGCGAAGCGCGCGCGACGATTCTAGCGCGTATTCATATATTTTGATGCATAGATATACTCTGTGAGCCAGTTACCCGAAATCGTAGCACGCGTCTGGCCCGTTAGGCCGGCGCATTCAGAGTTCGTTCTGGTAGCCGCTACCGACATGGAAGCCGGGCTCTCAGAGGGACGCATCGGTACCCAAACTCGCATACTTCATCTGTGGGGGCTTCGGTGGAGCTCCCTATCGGGCCACGAAACGTGTGAGAGGTGTGAAGAGCCACATAGAAAAAACCCTTCTGGGGGCTTCGGTGGAGCTCTCTATGGGGCCACGAAATGTGTGAGAGGTGTGGAGAACCACGTGCCAAACCCCTCCTGGGGCCTTCTGTGGAGCTCCGTTTCGAGCCACGAAAGGTATGAGGGACGTTGAGAACCGCATGCGAAACTCCCTCCTGGGGGCTTCGGTGGAGCTCCCTGTGGGGCCACCGAAAGCGTGAGGGTTGTGGAGACCCACATGCAAAACCCCCTACTGATGGCTTCGGTGGAGCTCCTTATGGGGCCACGAGACGTATGAGGGCTGCAGAGGACCACACACAAAAAAAAACCTTCCTGGAAGGCTCGGTGGTGTGCCGAAATGCGCACGCGGAGGGCAGGGGCATGGATGGGGAGAAGGGAAGTGGAGAGGAGAGGAGGGGAGACGCGGGGCGATGCCCAAAACGAAGACCCCATCACCACAGGACGGTCGGGACAAATCCTATGCTCTGTCCTGGGTCCGATCCTAAGCGCCCTCTTCGGCAAAGCAAGACGGATCCTCTCGTCAGCCCCCTGGGGGGGACACGGGTCGGGCGTCTCTCCGCAAGCCAACGGGTCGGTTAGGGTAAGGTTGGTCGTGTGCCGCGAAAAGGCCAGTGGGAAAGGTCATTCGCTCCTGCCTCCTCGGTATTTTGCGCCCTCCTCCTCCTCCTCCTCCTCCTCCTCCTCCTCCTCCTCCTCCCCTCCTCCTCTTCCGCCTCCTCCGTCCCTCCCTCCTCCTCCTCCCTTCCTCCTCTCTTCCCCTCCTCCTCCTCCTCCTCCTCCTCCGTCCTTCTAATTTTTCCTCCTCCTCCTTCCTTCGTTTCCTCCTCCTCCTCCTCTTCCTCAACCTCCTCCACCTCCCCCTCCTCCTCCTCTTCCTCATCCTCCCCTACCTCCCCCTCCTCCTCCTTCTTTCTCCTCCTCCTCCTCCTCCGCCTCCTCGATTCCCCTCCTCCTCGTCCTTGTTCCCCCCGTCTAGTTTCAGCAAAGCGACCTTTCACAACCACCATTAACTATTCGCGTTTGGAAGAGGCCAGTCGGCTTGGGGAGGGCTGGCCGCTTGCTGCGAAAACGCCGGTCGGTCTGGAAAAGGCCAGTCTCCTCTCGACCCTCTGGGCGGAGGGGGGGACCTAGGCGACGACGAAGGGAGGCCTTAGCAGGAGCAGGAGGTGCTCTCCTCGATGTTCGGCGCCCTCCTGGGTAAAGCACACAAGATTTAAGTCGGGCCTGTCCCTCTACAGGGGGAATATCCAAAAATAGTCGAACAATAGTCTGGGGAATATTTTTTGAGCACTTCGGGGCATCGTTTGAACATGTTTTAAGTATTTGGAGTTGTTCGTCGAAGATCCCCCTGCAGGGGGACACGCCCCACTGAACACAACATGGTCCTCTCCTCGATCCCCCCCTTGGGGGGGGGGGGGGGAAGCGGCGCCCCCCCCCCCCCTCGGGGAGGGCGGGGCGCCCGCGGAAGCCGCGGGAGCCGCGGGAGCCGCGCCGGGCGCGGAGGACGGGCTCGAGACCGTGGGCGAGCCGCAGGAGACCTTCCCCCGGGGAGCGCTGGGGTTCGAGGGGGAGGAGGAGCAGGAGGAGGAGGAGGAGGAGGAGGAGGAGGAGGAGGGAAGGAGGAGGAAGGAGGAGGCAGAGCAGGAGGGGGGAGGAGAAGGAGAGGAGGAGTAGGAGTGAGGATGAGGAGGAGAGGAGGAGGAGGAGGGGGAGGAGGAGGAGGAGGAGGAGCAGGAGGGGGAGGAGGAGGAGGAGGAGGAGGGCGAGGGGGAGGGCGAAGACAGAGAGTCGAGGTGGAGGGCGAAGAGGAGCGCGGAGCTCGGCGGCGGCACTGCAGCGGCGGAGCTCGGCAGCGGCAGCGCTCGGGAGGCCACGCCGCGCACGGCACGCAGATCCTACCCAGGTTTCGCACAGCACGGAGCGATCCACACGATGTCCTCGTTTCTGCACGCGCGCGCGGCAGCTGGATGCGCTCATCCTGCTCCGTGTTGCTGTGCCTCCTGCCTCCCCTCCCTCCCTCCCTGGGCGCCAGGCCCTCCTCCAGCTCAGTCCTCGCCGCTCCCCCCTCCCCACTCCCCCTGGGCCCCCCCCCTGGAGCCCATGTCCCCCTCGTGTCCCCCAGGCCCCAGGGGAGGGCTCCAGCGAGAGTCATGTGGCAGCTGCTCTGTCGGAGGGGGGCACCAGCCAGCGTGTCGCGCTGTAGGGGTGCGTGCCAGAAGGCATCGCGCGCGGCACGTGTGCCTGCGCTGTCCCATCCCGATGGGCTGCCGTTGCAGAAGATAGCGACGGTTGTCTCGCAGAGCTCGTTTTCTGCTAGCAGATGCGCCTAGAGCGCAGCACAGGTTCACATATACGCGTTTGCGTCTGTTGTCGTCGAGGGCCCGCCGGGAGGACGACAGCCCGGCGGAGGACGACGACTACAACTACGACGACGAGGCATCCTTGTTTTTGCCGCGCCTCTTGAATGTTGCTTATGCTTGCAGGAAGAGTGAGCACGCGGTGTTTGCTTGGTATACCCCCAGAGCGCGCTTGGAAGTCCGACGTAAGGAGAACGGGAGGAGGAGAGGGGAGGAGGAGGGAGGGGAAGTCCAACGGGAGGTGGAGGAAGCAGGAGTAAGAGGAGGAGGAGGAGGAGGAGGAGGAGGAGGAGGAGGAGGAGGAGGAGGGCGACAACAGAGCAGGAGGAGGAGAAGGTGGAGACATGGAGGAGGAGGAGGAGGAGGTGATGTTCGGAGGCGTTCTTAGCATGTATTGCAAGCGTAAGTGATGGGCACACGGTACATGAGACTGGTGCTAAAGTGCGGGATGGGTACAAGTGTGCCCGATGTAATGTTTCTTTGTTTCCAGCATCAGTTGTGTGGTCTTTCCCACACATTGGCCTGCCAAGACTGACCAGGCTTGCACTTTCTAGCCACAGGCTCCAGATCATGGGGGGGAGGCTCGCCTGGTGCCGAATGTGTGCAGCAAATGTCGAAGAAGAAAACGCCATCAGCATAATTAAACAATTGGCGCTCCGCTCGGATGTCATGGATCTGCGCTGGGCCCCCACCCCCTCGGCGGCGCCTCTGGCGCCGCCCCTGGCGCGCTCCGCGCGCCAGGGAGGGGGTCCCGCGCACATCCAAGAAGAAATCCGCGCGGAGCGCCAAAAGATCATGAAGGGGGAGGTTCGCCTGGTGCTGAACTCGTGCTGCACACGGGACGCCACGGTTGCGTTCATTCGGAGGGGAGACGTATACTTCGTTTGCGACGCAGGGTGCGCTCCGCTCGTTGTGCGCAGGCAGCCTCTCCCTCCCCTCCTCCTCCTCCTCCTCCTCCTCCTCCTCCTCCTCCTCCTGCTCCTGCTCCTGCTCCTCCTCCTCCTCCTCCTCCTCAGCATCGTCATCATCATCCCTGGTCCTCCTCTTCCTCCTCCTCCTCCTCCTCCTCCTCCTCCTCCTCCTCCTCCTCCGTCCTATCCAATTCCCGGGTCGACTCCTGAAGGCTTTGGCTCACCGCCCCCGCGGGACCGATCTTGTCAGACCAGCATCGCGTGGTTGTTTGCTTGTTTGCCGCTACCCTTCTTTGACGGAGGAGAAGAATTGAGGATATGAAGGCGGATGATGAGGTGGAAGGAGGCGGTAGGAATCACGGAAGATCGAGGAGCAACAACAAGGAGGGCGAGGAGGAAGGAGAATCACGGGTGATGATTGCCGAGCAGAATCGAGGAAGATTGAGAAGAGGAGTAGGAGGAGGACCATTACATGCTCTGAGCGACGGTTACGGGTCGGCCGACCCGACCCGAAATTGCAAGGCTCCTTGGCCAACATCAGTTACGGTTGCTCCTCTGGGGAATGCGGCCTGAGATTCGCAATTGTTAGGCACAGGGAAGCATTGATTTGGAAGCTTCTCGTGCAGTTGCCTCTGCGGCCTTTCAGGGTGCTTTCACTGTACTCGCCGCAGGATCAGCACACCCCAACAATGGATTCCGCCATGAGGTAGTCGCACACAGAAAGCACATGGCCTCGAGGGGATATGGGAAGGCTCGAGTGGGAGGCTGAATTTCCTGGGCACTCTTTTCGCGTTCTGGCGGCCTTCATGCTGTCTGTTCGCGAAAGCGTACAGTCGACCCGCATAGTAAGAAAATGGCAATATTCCCAAGGATACCCTGGCATCCTGGCCTCCGCGGTCCATCCTTGGCAGCTTTCGTTGGCCGCACCCAGCTCGAGAAGCTTCGAAATGTGCGTCCAAGGCCCTTGCAGCGGATCCTTACTGGGCAATTGGATTGTGTTGCAGGAGTGGCATAGTCAAGTGCCGTTCAGCCAAAACCATTGTTGGGGGGTGGCCGTGGGTGGGTTGCGGCGCGCTCGTGCTCGCCGAGAACGACCCACGGGGAGAATACGGGGATTCCACCCGCGCTCGGACAGCACCCGCCGCCCCCAAGAGCGGGGGGGGCGAAGGTTATGTCGGGCGCGTCCCTCTACAGGAGGAAGACTCAAAAATAATCCACAAATAATATGGGGACGATGTGTTTACTATGTTTGATTCGTGTTGGGTACATGTTGAGCATGTTTAATTGTTCTTCCGAAATCAGCCTGTAGGAGGACATGCCCGACCTAAGACTAAGAGTGGGTTTACCGAAAGCCTTCTTACTTGTCTTTGGGGCCAAAGGGGGCCCGGAGGGACCGATCCTCTCTGTAGCCTACCTGCGAAATCAATGGAGGCACGTCTACAGACCCTGGTCCGAAAGACATGGGATCGTGGCCGTTGTAGTCCAGATGTCAGAGGGTTCCCCTGGAGGCCGCCCCCACAGCGGCAGGCTGACGGTGGCGGCGGCCCTGACGACGGCGGGGCCGGACACGACAGCAAATCTGACGAAGACAACGACCACGACCACGACCGCGACGACAACCATGGGGATGAGCACCACGACGACGACCACCACGGCGACCACGACCACGACGACTACGGCGACGACGACGACGATCATCACCACCACGACGACGACGAGGAGGACGACGACCACGACCACGACGACCACGACGACCGCGACCACTACCACGACGACGGCGGTGGGACGGCGACGACGGACAAGGCGCTGGCGCTGAAAGGCGACCGCGGACGGATGCCCCCCGCCGCGCCAAAGGAGGAGCTGCGGAAGCCCGTGCTGAAGTGCCAGCTCGAGGAGGCTCGCCCCCGCCCCGCCGCGGTCCCCGCCGGCTGTTAGGTCGATCTTGGGGCGAGGCCACGTCATTTCCGAAGACTTGTTCCGTGAGGCGCGTGTTGTATGGTCCACCTCCTCCTCGTCCTCATCCTCCTGCTCCCCGCCTTTCTGCAGGGTAGAGTCGGCCCTGATTAGCAGGTCGACCCTCCCAAATCAAGAGTACCCTTGTGTCCTGTATCTCGCGACCCATGCCTCCTACATTCCTATGGTAATGTGGCCCTTGGAAGAGTCTTGTGTCCTCTTGCGCGTCCTGTCCAATCAAGTCCGACCTGTAGGAGGAGGAGGAGGAGGAGGAGGAGGACGCGGACGAGGAGGGCAACAAGGAAGGCGTTCGTATTTCTTGACGTTTCGCGTACCCCCGCCAGCGTTTTGCGAGTTACCTCTGCCTAGTTAGTCTCTGCGTAGCCCGCTGTGACCTGACTCGCCGCCGGCGCGCTCGCCCGCGGCCGCTGACTAAAAAGTACCCCCGCCAGCCCATCCAGACACAGATCGCCAGGCAAGGTCATGTCACTTTCGAGGACGTGTTGCGTGAGGTCCTTGTTGTTTCCCCCTCCTCCGCCTCCACGCTCCACGCCTCTCTGCAATTTAGGAGGAGGGCCAGGATGAGGACGAGGAGGAGGAGGATGAGGAGGGCCAAAAGGAGGAGGCGAGGCTTTCGTAACTACAGGTCATCGCGTTACAGATATGCGTCGCGGGAGAGGGAGGACGGAGGGGGAGGCGGAGAAGGGGAGAGAGGAAGGGACGGAGGGGGGGGGGGGGGGCGAAGGAGGGGGAGGAGGGAGGGGGCCTAGAGGAGCAGGAGGACGAGGAGGGGGAGGACGAGGGGCAGGAGCAAGAGGGAGGTGGACGACGACGGGGTGCACGGAGAGGGTGCTGGAAGGGGAGAGGAGGGCAGCGACGCCGAGGAGGCGAGGCGGGCTGGCCTTGCGGCCTGCCCCCGCGCGCGAGCCCCCCTGGCGTGCGCCCGCCAGGACAGGCAGGAGAGGGAGGCCGGCTTCCGGCAGGCGCCGCCCCGCCCCGTGGCCACGATCGGGGGGCGAGGATCGAGGGCCCAGGCATCGGAAGCAGTCAAAAACGCACGAGCATGAAACCTCCTCCTCCTCCTCCTCGTCCTCCTCCTCCTCCTCCTCCTCCTCCTCCTCCTCGTCCTCCTCCTCTTCCTCCTCCTCCTCCCCTCCTCCTCCTCCTCCTCCTCCTCCTCCCCTCCTCCTCCTCCACCTCCTCTCACTCACTTACTCATGGCGGCCGATCGTCGTCGTGCAGCCACCTGTCCTGCCCCTCCACCTCGGCTGCGGGCCCGAGGTGGAGGGGGGCATTTAGAGAAAAGGTAAGAAACGACACAATGTAGACAGCATCAGATCACTAACAATGAGGTGGGGGAAGTGGGAGGCCCCTGATGTACAACAACATAGACGGATGGCCAAACCACCCCAGCGGCGAGAAGGCAAGCCCCCAGAGGCAGAAACGAAAGAGCAAGGCAAAGAGAGGGAAGGGGACAGGGAGAAAGAAGGAGAGGGAAGGGGGTTAGCATCTAGGCCCTTGGGGTGGTTTGGTCGCCGTGACGCGAGGATGAGGAAAGGTAAAACATAAATGCAAGGAGGGAGGAAGCAGAAGGAAGACGCGGAGGAAGGTGGACAGGTAGGAGGGTGGGGCCATAGGCCAGTTCCTCTCCCCGACCCCACCAGCCCCATACCCCTTCCTAATCCGCTACCCCCTACTCAGAAGTGTAGAGGTATCCGCAAGTCCTAGCATGGCGGAACGTGGCAGCGAGAGACGTGGAGGATGATCATGGGGACAAGGTGGGAGACCATGCGGTGGTCAGTAAAATGGTCGGTGGGGGGATGGAGGTGCTGTAGTTCGCATGTTCTTATGGTAGGGGTCAGAGTGCTGCACTTAGCCTGCTCTTTAGGCTGCGGCTCGCTTGCTCGACTGGGGTGAAATAACCCCCCCCAACCGACCGTGAAACCAGAAGGTGGCAGGGACTAAGGTCTCTGGCGTAGCGTGGCGGAACGTGACAGCGCGAGAGTTGGAGCAAGGTCCATGGAGGAGGTGAGTGAGGTGACGGTGCTACCGGTGAGGAGCATCAGGGCCCTGAGCTCGATTCTAGGCACGGTCCCAGGAGCCTAAGCGCAGGTGGGTGGATGGGGCTGTCGCAACTGCGCCTGAGCATGTCATACCCTGCCCCTCCTCCGATCAAATCCGCCCCCCCTCACCCAGATGTGTAGAGGCACCCGCATGTCCTAGCATGGCGGAACGTGGCAGCGAGTGAGGTGGAGGGAGGTGGGGGGCAATCTGATGAAATAGAAGAAGTGGGGAGGTGTAGAGGCAGGGCGCGGCTGTCGGCGAAGCTGCTGTAACTGGCGCTCAGGCTGGCTCCAGAGGTGGTAGTATTAGCCGCGGAGGTGGGCGCCGCGGAAGTGGATGCCGATGAGCTTATCCACGGGGCTGGAGTAGGCGCGGAGGTGGATGCCGATGAGTTCAGCGGGAGCTGGAGTGGTGGAGTGTTCGGGGTCGGAGTCGGTCGTAGTACCTGTGGTCGGCGTCGGGCGCGCTGGCGCCTCGCGCGGCTTCGCACAGCGGCGAGGATGGCTATCGCCAGCGGTTAATGGCGCAGTTGGGTGACGCAGTCGCTGAGCTTGTCGAGGAACTGTTGGGTGAAATCGTTGGCCGAGGCGATCTCCTCCTGAATGTGTACGACCGTCTTGTAGCTGAAGTGCGGTTCCCCTGCCATCGCGGCGAGGGTGTCGAGCTTGTCCAGGATGTCTTGGTAGTGGGAGCGGTGCTCGCTGAGGATGTCTGCGATCAGGGCCTGTACGTTGTTTCGCATGTCGCTGGATTGAGCGGTGGCACCGCGCGCCCAGAGTTCGTTCCTGCTGTTGCAGGACATGTTGAGCATTTTGAATTCATCGCCCTTGTTGACAGTGGTGGTCCCGTGGGCATGGGAGTCCTCCAGCTCGGCGTGGTAAGGGTACCGTATGGTGGCTCCCATTGGGAAGGTGACTGTGTCGGGGTTGACCTGCTACTGGGCGATCGGCGCAACTGGGAACCATCCAGTGGGCTCCTGGGGCCCCACATGCATCGCGGGAGGTCGGTTGTCGTTCGCGCTGGAAGTAGTAATGCTTCGCGTCGGGCCGCAGGTGCTGGATGCAACAGCGCGCGCGCGTTGTTCTGCCGCGGGTGCTCCCAGCTCTGTGCTCGCGTCGTCGCGGTCGGCATTGTCTGTCGCGTGTGCTGTATCATCTTTTTTTGAAAACCGCCATGGTGGATGGGGCTTTGGATCAACTGGCCCAGGGTCTGGGCGTGGCGCGTTTCGAGGAGATACTTGGTGAGCTGGGCTGAGTGTCGCGGGCAAAGGTGCGGTTGCTGTCATTGCGCTGGTCATTTTATTGCCGCTGTCGGTAGGTGTGGCCGCGCGAGTCATTTGGGCTGCAGTTTCGGCTGCGGTCGTCGATCTAATTTGCTCTTTGTGGGTGGCTCCTCCCTTTGAGGTCGGATCGCGCTTCAAGAGTATCTCGATGTGGATCTCGCGCTCGGAGATGCCGCAGTCGTCGCATGGCGCAAGCCTGGGTTTCGGGTAGCGCATCTGCTCGATGCGATTGAGGGTGCGGAACGCGCGCGGAGGGCGGGGGCCTAGCTCACGCATTGGCACAACAACGAGCAAGGTGTCGCCGAAGATGATGAAGGGCCTGGTGCATTGGATCAGCCCGAAGTGGGAGAAGAAGAGGCCTGGCGCTTTCTCGCTGCACCATAGACGTGCTCGGCCGACCTATTCGTGGACGTCTGTGTCCTGTAGGTAGTCGGTTCGCATCTTTTCAAATAGGTCGTGGATAGTGAGGGCCATCATTTTGCAAGCCTGGTCGCGCATGGTTGGGCGTTCTGGCATTGGGGAGCAGTCGGCGAAGGATGGCTGGCACATCGGCCTCAGGCCGTGGTAGAAGCAGCCGCCCCGCGTGATGCTGAAGGCCTCAGTGCCCTGGTCGGTGGGATGCCGAGTAGAGCGCGCTTCGCAGCTGGAGTCGCCTTGGAATGTCCACTGAGTGGCGCCAGTGTTCTCGTTGTGGCAATAGGCGAGGCTTCTCGCTGCGTCGGCGCATGCGGCCCAGCCAGATGGTAATCTCCCATGGTGAATTTGGTCGGGTGGGAGGGTGTCGCCTTGCTTGTACGTTGGTGGGTCGCATGGGCGGCGGAAGCACCGGCTGGCCCTTGGCGTCGTTGCTGCCATTTGCATCGGAGTTCTGCCTGGGGTGGGCCAGGCGGTGGGGGCGACTGGTTAGGGATCGGGGTGTTGGCCTGCTGGTGCAGGAGCTGTAAGACGTTCGGCACTGGGACTGGTGTGGAGTGGATCGTCGCTGGATGAGCTGTAGGTCGGCGCGCGCAGTAGTCGTGCGCACTGGGCGCTGCGCACGTTGTAGTCGAGCCTCCAGCAAAGCCGCGTGCCAACCGGGGAAGTTGCGCGGGGCCCGGTCGACGCGCTCGGCAGTAGTGAAGCAGATGACGTGCACTGCGGCCCCTTACGTTGTCGATGAGATACGACCGTGCTGTGTGGGCCTCATTCGGATAGCTTGGCGATGTCGGTAACCCTTTATCGGCGTGGTGCCGTCAAGTATGCTCCCGGCAGGTTGCTTGAATTCTGGTGCGCCGTAGTCGGGTCGCTGTCTCGTCTTGGCGGGTGCATCACCGTCGGGGGCGTTTTCCACGCGGTGGGCGATGATCCCCCGCTCGGCGGCCTCGGCGTGGACGTCGACGGTTCCGTCGGTTCCCGTCGCGCACGTTTCCGAAGTCTCGGCGACTTCTTGCAGCACTTGCGCTCGGCACTCGGTGAGGGCGTTGTCAACGAAGGCGGCCCATGCGGGCAGGTCAGCGCATGCCGATAGCATCCCTATCCCGGAGGTCGGATGCAGGGCGCCGTAGACGTCGGTGATCGCCGCGATGTAGATATATGCAGGGTGCGTCGCTCGATGTTGCCGTGGATGGATTTGCGTGCGATTTCCTCGGCGTTGTTGCGCATTCCCATGCACTCTCTTGAGTACGCGTAGGGCATGTAGGTTGGCGCGCGGCTCCTCGTCTGTGTAATTCCACGGTGGCATTTGGAGTTGCAGTGGGTCTGCGCGCGCGGGTGCTAGGACGCCTTGCCATTCAAAGCTGTGGAACCTCCCCTTGACCACGGTCGTCAGCAGCGTCTTCTGGCGCGCGGTACGTTGTGGCGGAGCGGCAGTGCGGGCAGTTGCCAGGTCTGTCCATCCAATGGTCTGCGTCGCCCCACGTCTCGCTGTTGGAGTGGGCCAGAAAGTCATCGCAAAATGCGCCCCAACTCTCCACGACCTCGCCCTCCTAGCATTCCCCCGTTGCGGCGAGGCAGGCGACGGCGACGCGGCGATGGCAAGTGGTTCGCACGCATCAGCCCTTCGCTGTAGCGGGGGCGCAGATGTAGCCCATGTCGGGGTAGACGTACGCATAGTGGCGTGCGAGGGCGCCAGACGCGTTGATTCCTTGTGACGGCCTTACAATGCTTGGGCACGCAGTAGCTCCTTGCGGTTCGGCGCGGGGGTCTCCTGGCGCGTGGATAGCGCCTTCTTGGCGTCGTAGCCCACTGTTGGACATGGGGGTAGGCACTCATTCACTCTTGCCGGTACCCTGTCGGGGCCTCGCTCCGCGTCTTTCGCGGGTTTGCGTAAATGACTGCGACTCGTTGTTGGTCGGCAAGGTCAAGGCCCTTAACTCCGTTAGAGCTCGACCCCATTGAAGTCGATGAATTTCCGTAGCTTGCCAAAGACATCTGCGGACATATAGATTTCTCCGTTTTGATCTTCCCGGGGTAGGGCGACCCGCTGAGGACGGGAATCCAGCGGAGGCTTCAGGGCGCACTGCGGTTGGCAATGGGGCGTGCCAGGGGCGCGCTGGCCAGCTTAGGCTAAGCTCTTGAGCCGAGCCGAAGCTGGGCTACGGCTGGTGAGATGAGGGTAATTATTGTTTGCTGGCAATGTAGTGAGGGGTGGTATCTTTT